TATTTGACTGGCTCGTCTTCCTTATTTCCCACTTCTACCACTACCACTACTACTACCTCTTCTTCTTCTACTACAACTACTGATGAAATTAAGACACATGTGCGGCGTCTGGTTGTCTTTGTTGTGGACGTTTCGCCATCCAGTGGCTGGCTGGATGGCGAAACGTCTACGGTGGGGATGCCCGGGTGTTGTGCATGTGTCATTTCATCCTGTCGGTATTATATACAATTCTTGTACTACTACTACTACTACTACTACTACTACTACTACCTCCACCTCTTCCTGCCTATATATAGCTGTCCTGCTATACCTCTGTTAGTGTGACTTTGTCAATGGTCCAAGTCGGACCGAAACGTCGTCGTAAGCTTCTCTCTTTTATGTGCGGGTTATTTGTGTATCGTTCCAGTCACGGTATTGTGCCTTTTTGTTATTTATTAATGTATTATTAAGTAATGAATTAGCGCTCTGGAAAGAGGTAAGGGAAGAGCAGTTCACTGATAATTAATATATTGTGAAAATGCCTTATCTTGTATACTCACTGACAACAATAACTTGCACAATGTGATCCCTCATGTCTGTGATAACTAATACGTGAGTGAACGACAATATTTTTAAATGATGTTTCAACAAGTAACGGAGGGTGTTTTATGGTTACAATTTGAACTCTTGTATTGTCATGAAGTTATTTATTTGTTGACTGAATGATCATCGTAATCAACACGCAGGCTGCTGCATGTGCTGCTCCAGGCATGCTTGCATCAACACGCAGGCTGCTGCATGTGCTGCTCCAGGCATGCTTGCATCATCACGCAGGCTGCTGCATGCACTGCTCCAGGCATGCTTGCATCAACACGCAGGCTGCTGCATGTGCTGCTCCAGGCATGCTTGCATCAACACGCAGGCTGCTGCATGCACTGCTCCAGGCATGCTTGCATCAACACGCAGGCTGCTGCATGTGCTGCTCCAGGCATGCTTGCATCAACACGCAGGCTGCTGCTCCAGGCATGCTTGCATCAACACGCAGGCTGCTGCATGTGCTGCTCCAGGCATGCTTGCATCAACACGCAGGCTGCTGCATGTGCTGCTCCAGGCATGCTTGCATCAACACGCAGGCTGCTGCATGTGCTGCTCCAGGCATGCTTGCATCATCATGCAGGCTGCTGCATGCACTGCTCCAGGCATGCTTGCATCAACACGCAGGCTGCTGCATGCACTGCTCCAGGCATGCTTGCATCAACACGCAGGCTGCTGCATGCACTGCTCCAGGCATGCTTGCATCAACACGCAGGCTGCTGCATGCACTGCTCCAGGCATGCTTGCATCAACACGCAGGCTGCTGCATGTGCTGCTCCAGGCATGCTTGCATCAACACGCAGGCTGCTGCATGCACTGCTCCAGGCATGCTTGCATCAACACGCAGGCTGCTGCATGCACTGCTCCAGGCATGCTTGCATCAACGCCCATACAGGAGGATGGAAAGCGTGATTTCCCTATTAAATATCTGTCAGCTCGCATCTCTCTCGCTGTTGCAGAGAAAGCAGCAAAAACCTTAGTCAAACTGTACACAAATAACCCGCACATGCTTACGACGACGTTTCGGTACGACTTGGACCATTTACAAAGTCACAAATGCTCCAAGTCGGACCGAAACGTCGTCGTAACCTCCTCTCTCCCATTTGTGGGTTGTGTAGTGTTCCAGTCACAGTTTTGTGCCTTTTTTTGTTACTTACTCAAACTGGTAAAACTTTCTCATTACGTCTCATTTTTAACTGGTGCTTTATTATGGTTTTGATAATAAAATACTATACCTGTGAGAGGGTCTGTGCAGTGCCATTGCTACCTGAAATAAAGTCTGAGCTTCTGTTATGTGAAAGTACAGAGAATATAGTGTAAATCTATGAGATGAGCTCTGCTCATCTCATAGATTTACACTTCATAAGGATTTGAAATCAAATTGGCTAAATACATTGTAAAAAATTTAATTACTTCAATTGAAAATAAAACCTTTTAATGTTTTAAAAATTTACTAATTACTGAAAATAATTAATGATTTTATGATATCAGGAATTTTCTCCCGTATATGACAGGAGTGGAGTTTAATAATTACCTTAGTAAATACGTAGCATATTTTAAATTTTTCAATTCTCCCCTGAAAATTAATGATAAACCAGGTAACTATCAATAGAAAGCACGAGAAAAATCATTGTTTTTATTCATAGTTTGAAAATTAGTTTTTGTATTAAAACTCTTGCTGCATGTTAGTAAAATTACTTGAGAATTATTAGATATGGACACAAATTAAGAGATTTTTTCTTCATATCATTAAAATATGTTTATCCTATAAATACATTACCTTTATATACATAATTCGTAAAATACAACTTCTATAAATACAACAGCTATCAATAAAATACCATAAATGTTTTTTTATATAAGATTTTTAAGATAGAAAACTGTTTGTAAAGGCACCAAACCTTTACTTGATATCTACAAGGTGTCCCTAAAGTCTTCATATAGCCATTTTCTTTAAGATGCCCTTTAAAATGCCTCTGTCAAAGGAAGAACGTAATCGTTGTCATGACTGGATCAGGAAGCTGTTGTCAGGTTTCATTGAACTTTTACAGGACACATGGCAAGCACATCACCCAGCACACTGTTGGACAAATTACTGCAAAATATAACACGACTGGAAGTGTTATGGATCAGATGTGTTTCTACGAGTGAGCTTGAGTGGGAGAGGTCCTTCAGCGTCTGTTTACAAAGATAATCGCGTAGAGAATTTCCTGAAAATAGTTACATATTGCTACACTTGTAAATTTTCCTTATGCAGGTTTGTGCAGTAATATGAAGATAAGTTGTATATAGGTGTTGATAGTGTAAAAAAAAGTGCCCTACAAATTGATGACCATTTTTTTATAAGATTGTGGGAGCATTTTTACAATACCAGCATTTTACATTATATGCAGCCTGTCTTCACATAAATGCGCAAACCTGCATAACACACTATGTATGGAGACTTTTTTGGACACCCTCTACTATAAATTGCAAAATATTGTTCCCTGATGAAATTTTGTGGGTCACATTCCTATCTTCCTTAACAGAATTCAATTTAAAACCTTCCAAAATTGATGTGTCAGCACAGTATTAAACTAAATATTAGTTACTTATTCGCTGGTGTTCGTATAATTCAATTTTATATTTTCAAAATACATCCAGTAATAATGCCAGAGAATTAGTTAGAAATTATTAATGCTTTTTAAGTGAAAGACATTTCTCAACTAATTAATTAATCAACGATCACTAATAATAATAATAATAATAATAATAATAATAATAATAATAATATTATTGTAATTATCATTCAAATTATTCCTAATAAAATGTTAGCCAAAAAATTAAAACGTCAAATATACTCTCTCAGGCAATAAACTTACACAAATGTAAAAATATTCATTAATATTTTCTGGCAGTCAAGAGTCAAGTATTTATACCCTGGCAAGTGTATGTCTTTAAGTGTATATACCGAGATTTACTATAATGCTTATTTAAGGGATTCCAATTTTCATGACTGATGGAGATGAGGTTACATGAAGCTGTAACGACCCTCGAGTACTTTATAAGCTTTGAAGCTGTAAATTGAAGAGAGAAATAATTTTATTTGTAACTAAAAAATATTGTCACCCTTGGGCATCCCAAGGTTACTAAATAATTTATTGTGTTCCTTGGGCACCCCAAGGTAACTAAATAATTTATTGTGTTCCTTGGGCATCCCAAGGTTACTAAATAATTTATTGTGTTCCTTGGGCACCCAAGGTTACTAAATAATTTATGTGTTCTTGGCACCCAAGGTAACTAAATAATTTATTGTGTTCCTTGGGCACCCCAAGGTAACTAAATAATTTATTGTGTTCCTTGGGCACCCCAAGGTAACTAAATAATTTATTGTGTTCCTTGGGCACCCCAAGGTTACTAAATAATTTATTGTGTTCCTTGGCACCCCAAGTTACTAATATTATTGTGTTCCTTGGGCACCCCAAGGTTACTAAATAATTGATTGTGTTCCTTGGGCACCCCAAGGTAACTAAATAATTTATTGCTCATAAAATACGAAATGAAAACTGTGCATATAGTAAGATATCTCGTTTCCTACTAACTCCCAGAATTATGTATTGCTCTCCGATGAGCTTAATGATATCTTGTTCTCTGTTGTCTCTCAAAATGATACAAGAGCGCAAAAAAAAAAAAAAAAAAAAGGCGAGAGGAATAGAATTAAGTTTCATACAAGATACTTTTGTAAATAATATGAATATTAGTCTTGGGTTATACAAATTGGATTCATTTATATTTAATAAAAATTTGGGAAGAATTTTAAGATACATTAGACAAATTTTTTCTAAAGTATTTAAATAACGAGATTTTTTTTACTGATCAGCAGAAGAATCTGGTATATGGTATCGATTACCCTTGACTTTTCTGTAAATTTCTCAGGTAAAATGATAAAAGATTGTCAAAGTAAAAATTATATTGAAAAAAATGTTAGAAAGCTAGACATAACATAATCTTTTAATAATGACAGCAGTGAAGTTCTTACTAATCTTTCCAGCGGGAATCTTACAGAAGTTGAAATAAGTTGTTTTATCCTTGAGATTTTCTTATTTACTACATTGTAGAAAAAAATCTCAGCCAGCCTTTGAACACCTGTGTGTATATACCGCAATTGTTCCATTAGAAAAGGTGTTTATAAGTCTTGTTATAATTGTAGTGAAGGTTCTGTATAAATAGCAAACCTTTCATTTTACAATTTTAAACATTTTGTTACTCATTTCCAGCCAGTGAGAAAGAATAATACGAGGTATTAAAGACTTTGAAGTCAAATATTACTGTAATTATAAGAACAATTAACTGCCAGGGCGCTGTAATATTGCATGACTCACAATATATAGGAAAAGTGCAGGAAATTCTTGCAGAAGAAAACTATTGGTCGGTAATTAAATTATAGAGCAAACGTAATCACTGTTTTCACAAGAGAATTATTATTAATGGTATTATGAATGGACTCACAAACACTCAGAGGAAATTTCAACTCTGACCTTCAGTTTACATCCTGCAGTATTCTTGTGCCCCCAGAATGTCTCCTTCGTATATTCATGACGTGTTCTATACTGATTTGATGACTGATTTGGCAAAACTTTGTCGTGAGTAAAGGTACCTACTATATTTAAGTGTTATTGTCTGGATAATGTTGGTATTGATGCCCATTTCCAGTTCAAAATAAAGCTCTCACAAGTATTTGACAACAATGGTCATCAGTGTGACATTCCTATACTGAGCTCTCCTTTTGGCTGGGGACAGGTAGGAGTGAAGCTTCTGGGTCCCTTGAGCATAGGTCTTGCTTTAAAGATTGTCGATGCCCTACAGACGCAGAGGAGGATGTCCAGTGAGGTCTCGGTAATGCCTGCGTAGGAGCATTTTGGGTAGAGGTGGTGGCGTGGAGGTTCCCTTGAAGTCCACTATGTGTGGAGGTAGAATGGTGGAGGGCTTGATGGAGCCCACTGTGTGTGGGAGTGTTAGTGATCACCACAGGCTGGGAGTAAGCTGCAAGTGTCAAAGGTGGGAAGTGAGTTTGTCTGTGCTTGTGATCGAGGGTAGCGTATATGACTCTCTGCGGATCATTGAGCTGTGGGTTTGATATAGTTCTCTGGAGAGTGTGTTGTGACATGGGTGCTGTTCTCTGTGGATCGTGATGAGGGGTAATTGGACCTCTGTGCAGGTCGAGATGGTGAGGGCTACAGGTTGCGCCTCCTAACACTAGTTCTGCATACTGCACGTCGTTGGCGGAACACTGCTGCTGCTGCTGCTGCTGCTGCTGCTGAAATATTAATTTTCAGTTTTACAAAACCAGAATAAATTAATGCAAATCCTGTCTAATGTATGTAATGTGAACCTTTGGCACTGCATCAAGTTTTTTTTATGAACCTCTGTTACAACCAATGTTTTACCATTTATACATCATATTTACATTTTCTCCTTATCTTATTTATTCTTATTATAATTCTACTTAGTATTTCGCTTCCTTCTTGCACTCAATAATTACAACCTTCTGCTGTGCACTCTTGTGTTCTTACATTCACATTATGCCTCTTCAATCTCCACGTCCTCAACAATCTCTCGTGAAACACACCTCTAGCTATCACATTTTATGTTTCCATTTGCTTTCACTTCTTTTTTTACCCAAAGTCATCATTCTTCTCATGTTCCAGTTTGCCGTTACTATACCTGCCACTAACCAATGAACTGACATATTCGTAGCTTCTTTAAAAACATATACGTTCAGAAGATTACCCATTAAGGTTGTATCCACCAACACAAAGTGTAGTAAAGTATTATTACTCTATACTTAATCATACCTTGTGTATTTATCCTCTATTTCCCAAAACAATGTATTTCCTCTTACTTTACTTTTATTAAAACAGTTTAATAAAATAAACCACGTTATCACATACCCCAATCACTCGAAATTTTCCTACGATGCCCTAAACGATATGGTATTAAGGTCTCGTTAAAGATTTATTCTCTCACTGTATTAAAAAAATCTCGAAATATTCACTTACCATTTCCCAAAATCATTCAGTTACATTTCTCTCAACCTCTAGGCTCACAAAGATTTATTATAACCCACTTCTCACATCCAGCTTATATTAAAATCAACATAATTCTTGAGTATTAAATGTTGTACCTTCTCTAGAAAATATCGCTGTAATCTCTGTAATAACAGTTAATAATAAATTTATCTTGGATTTAATATTCAGGTGGATATGTGGATCACCTGGAGATGTTTCGCGAACTAGTTCAGCAATAAACAAATAACCGGACATTGGAGAATGAGACTTAAGACGACGTGTAACTAGTTAATGATCCAAGACGGACCGAAACATCGTTATAAGTTTGATTTTCTATGTGCGGTTTATTTGTGTATTGTTCCAGTCACGGTATTGTGCCTTTTTATTCTTTAGTTCTGCTACCTGGAGACGGTGTAAGACATGAAGTAGTCTCAGTGATGAGTCTCTCACCTTTGCTAGAAAGTTTTCAGTCCATCAATCTGGATGAATTCTAAGTAGATGCCAGAGAATTCTGGCGTATTCTCTCTAGCACCCTCAGCCCAATATATTATCAGACCCCCCCTAAAAATAATTAAGGATTTGTTAACGGTTTTGGCTCTACTGGGAGTGAACAAAAAACACCGAAATCTGGCCATTGGAAGGGAAATTAAAACTGGGTCATTTCCAAAATGATCATAGTTGATTCTGAAAACCCAGGATGACGGCTGTAACGTCCTTCCATCCTAGAGTTTAAGGGCACGGCATTCATTTGTGCCAAGAGAATTTCAGTCCAACTATTCAGACCCCTAAATCAATGATTGGGGCCAACAATCACGACTGAAGGGATCAGTTCCAATAGTTACCTTATTATTGAAACTGAAAATCAGTTTTAGGGCCACACATACACTTAAACATATATTCATATACACGTATACATCTATACATACGCACATACACACACACTCCCCCCCCCTCTCTCTCTCTCTCTCTCTCTCTCTCTCTCTCTCTCTCTCTCTTCTCTCTCTCTCTCTCTCTCTCTCTCTCTCTGACTACATACCTGGTAGCTAGCCAGGGAGCAGAGGTGTTGGGTCCTGGGTAATGTTGAATAAGATGTGGACAGCGAGGCTGAGCTGATTGTCTTCACTCCTTCAACCACCCACGATGATGTTACTGTTTATATGATGCTGTTAATATGTGGGTCATTTGTGGGAGGTTACATTATGGTGGTAATATGATGACTGCTCTACGGATGCTGCGAATATGTAATAGTTATTCAACATATGTTAGGGTTATAATGCGTAAGACACATTCATGATTTTGATTCATCAGCAATAAATATGTGGCTATATTATGTTTGTGGCATTCATGATGATTTCTTTAGGTATGGGACACTTTTGGGAGTATGCTGCATGTGGTTCATATTAGCTATGTCCCGTATGTTGCACAAGTGTTGGTTAAAGTGCTATAAATCTCTTCTTAGTATCTCACTTTACTATTCAATTTACCGCAAGCATAAAATTGCAATACTCTAGGCGATTTAATAAACAAAATTACGAAGTATGAGGATATAATCTACTGTTGTTACTGATGCAGTTAAATGTTTCTCCTGTGAAGCCTCGTCTGTCATAAATCATCCAGAACTGCAGTTAAACGAGGCCTCGTCTGTTATAAATCATCCAGAACTGCAAGTAAACGAGACCACGTCTGTCAGAAATCATATAGAACTGCATGTAAAACGAAGCCAAGTCTGTCAGAAATCATCCAAAACTGCAAATCAAGACTGATATGAAAGGCAACAATAATGAGAAATCATCCAGTTCTACATCTAGTTGAAATAATTTCTGATGATTGTGGCCAACTAATTCCGCATTTTTTTGCGTATAAATATGAAAAACAAACCCAGTGAATTGAGCAATTTTTGGAATCGATGATTTTTTTTAAATCTTTGAAGCAGATGTCAACATGGTTGTTCATTATATTTATAGATGTGGTTGTAAGAGAAGTGAATGCTCGGGTGTTGGCAAGAGGTGTGGGATTAGAAGATCAAAGTGGGAGTTTTCACAGATGCTCTTGCTGATGACACTGTACTTTTGGGAGATTCTGAAGAGAAATTGCATAGTTGGTGGATGAGTTTGGTAGGGTATGTAAAAGAAGGAAATTAAAAGTGAATATAGGAAAGAGTAAGGTGACGAGGATAAAATTATGTAACGAAAGATGATTGGATATCAGATTGGAGGGAGAGAGTATGGGGGAGGTGAATGTATTCAGATATTCAGGAGTGGACGTGTCAGCGGATGGGTCTATGAAAGATGAGATGAATAATAGAAATGACGAGGAAAGAAAAGGTTAGTGGCACACTTAGGAGTCTGTGGAGACAAAGAACTTTATCCATGGAAAAATTAAGGGGAATGTATGAGAGTATAGTTATGCCAATGCTCTTATATGGGTGTGAAGCATGGGTGGTGAATGTTGCAACAAGGAGAAGGCTGGAGGCAGTGGAGATGTAATGTCTGAGGGCAATATGTGGTGTGAATATAATGCAGATTATTCGTAGTTTTCAAATTAGGAGGAGGTGCAGGACTAACAAAACTATTATCTAGAGGGCTGAGGATGGGTTGAGATGGATCGCACGTGTAGAGAGGATGGAACAAAATAGAATGACTTTGAGAGTGTATAAATCAGTAGTGGAGGGAAGGCGGGGTAGAGGTCGGCCTAGGAAAGGTTAGAGAGGGGGTAAAGGAGGTTTTGTGTGCAAGGGGCTTGGACTTCCAGCAAGCGTGCATGAGCATGTCAGGAGCAAATGGAGACAAATGGTATTTAGGACTTGACGTGCTGGAGTGTGAGCAAGGTAATTATGAAGGGATTCAGGAAAACTGGCAGGCCGGACTTGATTCCTGGAATTGGGGAGTACAGTGCCGGCACTCTGAAGAAGGCGTGTTAATGTTTCAGTTTTATAACTGTAGTGTAAGCGAGCCTCTGGCAAGACAGCGATGGAGGGAATGATGGTGAAAGCATTCCTTTTTCGGGCCACCTTGCCTTGGTGGGAAACGGCTGATGTGCTAATAAAAAAAAATAATAAAAATAATTATAATAAAAATTATAATAATAATGATAAATAGTTTAATATCTTTATTATGCACCCCGTACCCATCCTGTGGGCGGTAGTCAAAAGATTAGAAAGGTATTTAATGGGTCCAGTGACTGGACCCCAAAGTTATGATACCTGAACTAGTTACAAAGGTAATGTACTCCAGGTAGATCTGGTCACAATCATGGCAAGTTACAAAGGTAATGAATCAGCTTCACTCCTATACATGGTTACAGTCATGAACAAATTACAAAGTAATGAACCACTGATACGTCCACACCTGGTCACAATTGTAACGAGTTTAAATACAAATATTTAGTGGGTCATACACCCACCCGAGCGCGCGCGTGCACACACACACACACACACACACACACACACACACACACACACACACACACACACACACACGAGGGCGCACGCACAGATATATGCACACGAGCGTACAAATATATGCACACACACACACACACACACACACACACACACACACACACATACACACACACACACATACACACACACACACATACATACACCACACACACACATACATACACCACACACACACATACATACACCACACACACACATACATACACCACACACACACATACATACACCACACACACACACCACACACACAACACACCACAACACACACATACACCACACACACACACACCAACACAAAACCACACCCCACATACACCACACAAAACCACACACACACACACCACATACACCACACACACACACACACATACACCACACACACACGCGCGCGCACACACACACACACACACACACACAACACACACACACACACAAAACCACACACACATACACCCACACCACACACACAACACACACACATACACCACACACACACACACATACACCACCACACACACCGCACACACACACAAAACACACACACACACACACCACACACACACACACACAATGGTCTGTAATATACCACTATGGATAAAATACTTTGCCATTTCTTGAACATTTCTGAGTGAGTTGTCTCTAAATTCATTAATCTGATCACACTCCAGTACATAATGACGCAAGGTGTGACAATAGTCATAATGTAATAATAATAGTAATAATAATGTATATTTCGCCATGATATAATGTTTATACAGAGATAGGTCACATTTTTTTGTGCATTAA